ATGTCTTTGCACTAAAATTTGTATGAGGTTGACCACCCAAATTTTGAAGAAGCATACTAAAAACATGTAATTATTTGTCGTACATATCACCGTAACCAACCTGGTAACTATGTTATCCTTACGCCTCAAAATCATGAATATTTACCAAAACCTGGTAGAAAATGTTAACTCAAACCCTCTTCGTCCATTCTAGACCAAAAAATCAACAAAAATGGGCATGCAAAGGGGGAGAAAAGAGACAGAGGGAGAATTGCTATAAATAGACGAACTACAATTTGTGGATATCGAGATGGTGAAATTTAATGGTGGTCTGACTCCTATATAGTTCTATTCTAGCTGATTTCGACTTCCTAAGAAAACATTTACATCCGCACTTCAGTGTGTAAAATCAAGTCGATTGAATCACACTCAACAATGTCGATTCGCCAACATATACTGGTTTCGGAGGGCTCGACTTTATGAGTACCTGGTCTTCAGAAGTCATTAAAGAGAACATCGCTAACGTTGCAATATACATTCCTGCTTTGATTGATATTGTACTTTTTAAAATGAAGAGAATGGAATATAACAAAGGGCAAAGAGGGCTGGCCGTTAAGTTTATTTTGCCAAATTTACAGACAAAATATTAACAAAAAGTGGGTCGGGCATGCACCAAAATAAATAGTTGCTGTCTTTGCGGTATAAGGAATAAATATGCAAAGTTCCAAGATGATCCATTCCAGAATTGCAGTCTGTAGACGATAAATACAAATATTGGGCGTGGCTCTGCCCCTGGGGGTGGGGGTGGATATGGAACAATATAAATAGTTAGCACCCAGTTATTGAAATGATTGATATGCTGAATTTGAACAAAATCTGTTAATTATTGCAACCTGTAGAGTATTTACAGATAAAACTAACAAAATAAATAGTTGCTATCCTTACAGTATAAGGAATAAATACGCCAAGTTCCAAGATGATCCATTTAGAATTCCAGCCTGTAGTCAAAAAACACAAAAATTGGGCGTGGCTCTACCCCTGGGGGTGGACATGGACCAATATATATAGGTACAACCCTAAGCTGGATCATTCCGAATATGCAACCTGTATATCATTTACAGAAAAAATATCAACAAAAAGTGGGTGTGGCACCGCCGAAAGGGCAGGGCATGCACCAACATCAATAAGTATACCAAGTTCCAAGATAATCCATTCAGAAGTGTGGCCTTCGGGCGCTAAAGGCAAAAACTGGGCGTGGCTCTGCTTCTGGGGTCGGGACATTCGCCAAAATCAATAGTTGACTCACTTAGGCTATAAGGAATACATATGCCAAGTACCAAGCTGATCCATTCAGAATTGCGGCCTGTAAACGATAAACACAATTGGGCGTGGCTCTACCTCTGAGGGTCGGGACATGCAGTTGTCGTCCTTAGGCTATAAGGAAGGCATATCCCAAGTTCAAAGACCATCCATTAAGAATTGTGGCCTGTAGGCAACACACAGAGACACAAGGTAAAAATGGGTGTGACTCTGTCCCTGGGGGTCGAGCAATCACCCAAAAAACAATAGGGCCCTTGGGATATAAGGAATAGGTATGCAAAGTTTCAAAAGGATCTGTTTAGAATTACGGCCTGTAGACGAAACACAAGACACACAAACATTGGGCGTGGCTCTGTCCCAGTGGGTCGAGCATGCACCAAAAATAATAGAGGTCAGTCTTAGAATAAGGAATACGCATAAAAAAGTTTTCAAGACGAGCGATTAAGAATTGCGGCCTGTAAGTGACACACAGACACACAAAAAGAAAATGGGAGTGGCTCTTGCCCGTGGGGTTTGGGTATTCACCACAAACAATAGAGATGTTCCTTAGGATAGAAGGAATAAGTATGCAAAGTTTCAAGGAGATACGTTAAGAAATGCGGTCTATAGATGACAAACAAACAAATACAAGAAATGGGCGTGGCTCATAGGGGTCATCCTTCGGGTATAAGGAATTCATATGAAATTTTTCAAGACGATCGATTAAGAATTGTGGCCTGTAGGCAACACACAGACACACAAGAAATGGGCGTGGCTCTGCCTCTGGGGGTCGGGCATGCATGCACCAAAAACAATAGGGATCATCCTTAGGGTATACGGAATAAGTATGTAAAGTTTCAAGATATTCACTTAAGAATTGTGGCCTGTAGGCGAAACACACAGACAGGGGCGACGGCAAAGTACACATAAAAATCAATTAAAATGAGTAAATAACCAAGAGAAACTAATTGTTACGATTGCGAATCTAGACCCCCACCCCCCCAAACACACCCACACAGACGCAGACTCACTGATATTATCTAATTATCTGAAACTATAAAATACCTATATTCTACAACAAAAGAGATGGCACAAAAGTTGAACAACTGTTACCTACAGTGTGGGAGGTCAAGATAACAGAGAAGTGATATCGAATGATCTAGATCGAATAGGATCGACGGTGATGGCTATGGAAGTTTCGTGGGAATTTCCAGAGTGGTTTACTCTTGTCAGTGGTGCAGGAAAGAGGGTCGGCAAATGAACATCGTCTAGTATTTCGAATGGGACGAAAGACAGATCCCGTTAAGGGTCGCCTGTCCAACCTCGTGGGTTTTCTCCGGGTCCTCCCACTGCTAAAGACCCCTACGTTAGTCCCGAAATGACCTAGTCTGTGTCAAAGTGGAGTTAAACCCCATCTCACTCTCTCACTCTCTCTCTCTCTCTCTCTCTCAGATCCCGTTTTCACGTTGCCGTAGCCGTATAAGAACTTATGAATTCGATGAAGAGTAGGTTGAAACGCTTATGGAAAGGGGAAAATTCCCCCACAGTAATCTGCATGGCGTATACTCGTCTTCGTTATCCCAGATGGCACAGAAAAGTCAAATGCTAAAATCTATTTCAATTGTTGCATTTCCCGAACCTTCGAATTGTTGTTTTCTTTTCTTTTTTTTTTTTTAATTTGATAGATGGGCCAGGCAAATCTCCTTATGCCCATCTATACTGTGGCAGATAACACTTAAAATGTGTAGAAGTGATAAGATAAGAAATGATATATAATGTTTATAAACGTCACTGGCACGAGATATTATAGTATGGAGTGTCCATCGGTCTGTCCCCATCACGTTTCATCATATATTAGTAGAGAGTAGATGTGTGTGTGTTAGTACAGAGTGGGATTATCCACGGAACATTATCACAGGGGGATACTGTATAACATGTAACCTCGAGCCAAATGGACAGTCTCCTCGTCTGTTAACTAATCTGAAAAATGATAGAAATAACATTACATACTCTTCAAAAAATGTAGAGGATATTCTGAAACAATACAAAACTGCGGAAATGCGCTGCTGTTTTTATTAGAGGTAACCAGAGTATGTTAATAACAGGCCAATTGGCTACACATGAACATAAACAGTTCATATGGGCGGCTTATCTGACGGCCCCATTTCACTCGCAAAGAGATACATGTACACTGTCAAAAGTGAAAATGGACGTTTTTGATTTTTGTCTTAATAATGAGTAATTGCTCCATCAATCCTCAGACATTCAGCAATTCGTCGTGGCATGCTCCTAATCAACCGTCCAATCACGATTTGGGGCAATCTGACCCACTCCTCTTGCAGTGTCACGGCCAATTCTTGCAGTGTTGTCGGTTGACGTTGACGTCGACGAACACGTCTCTCGATCATGTCCCAGACATCCTCTTTTGAGGAAAGGTCAGGACTCACGGCTGGCTAAGGCATATGGACAATATAGTGATGCTGGAGGTAGTCATTCACGACACGAGCGCGGTGGGAACGGGCATTATCATCTTGAAAGATGAAACGTCGACCTACACGTTGAGCAAAGGGCAAAACTATCGGTGCCAGGATGTGGTCACGGTAGAACACACTGGCAAATCCGTTCTGCCAGTCATGGTGATTCCTCCCCACACGGTAACAGACCCACGCCCGAATCTGTCATGCTGTCTGACGTTAACGTTAACATGACGCTCATTTACACGCCTCCAAACGCGAGCACGCCTATCGGTGAAATCCAGAGTAAATCTGGACTTATCTGAGACCATTACACGCGCCCATCGACGATTACTCCAATTTCTACGCTGCCTACACCATTTTCGCCTGTTTGCCATGTGCTGGCGAGTTAATGGAGGTACAACACGCGGTCGTCGCGCATGCATATAGGCTGCATATAGCCGATTTCTAATCGTTTGGGGTGTAACTCGAATTCCTGTAACTTGGTACAAGTTTACAGAAAGATGATTGGCCGTTTGTCCTCGATTTCGCAGGACCTGTGTACGAATGTATCGATCCTCGGCTTGTGTAGTGGCTCTAGGACGACCCGAACGAGGTCTATCATCAACATTGTGTGTTTGTTGGTACCGGTTCCACAGTCTGCTGAACCCATTCGAACCTTGCCAATAGCACGCAGACGTTCATCATGTTGAAGACGCCTCATTGCAAATTAAACGTAACACACTAAAGCAAAGATACCCTAAACAGTAAATCTTATGCAAGAACCTATAGGAAAGCAAACATGGATATGATAAACCAGCACGCGGCAGTTTTCATCAACCCTTGATTGAAGTGTCAAATTTGACAATGAACCCCTCCCACGTGTATGACGCTATTGCGTGTCACACATGCAACCGAGTGGTTCCGTTGCGGCGATAAGTTCTTCATCTGTGAACATATTCTCAAAGCATGTCAAGTGTCCATGACTATTTATCATATCACAACCTGCATAGGTATTTGCATTTCAATATCCCCTAGTTTTTTTTTGAAGAGTATATACCAGTTTCTGTGCCTATATTGTGAAAAGGCAGTTACGGACAAAAAGAGTCGCATTTACGTGTGTACGAATAAAAAACATTTGCTATCGGCGTCCAGAACGGGCGGTTAGATGGAATCGAAGTCGATAACGTACGTCATGAACGAATAATGTTGAGAAGAAAACATCTTTATGAAAGAAAATAAGACCATCTATATTTATAATATATTTATCTCTTTATTTCAAATATTGCCAGGCAAAGTTTAATATCTTGGATTTATTTATAATATATTTAATACTTTAATATTATGTTATTCTCTTGTCGTTTAACAAATGACAAATATCACCAGAGCATGAATAGTTTGACACAATGAGCAATATCAGTTTTTACATAATAAAGTGTATTTTATACCTTTACAATCTCTTATATATATAATATAATATACATGGAATAAATAGAATATCTTTTAGTCTCCAGTATTAAAAGGTCGGGAAAATTTTGTTTGGGGACCGTACATGTATATCGCTTTATCTCTGACTGACATCTTCATTCATAAAAGTCAAATTGAAACATAAAGTTTGTCTGTTCTGACTGTATCCTTAAATTTGGCTACTAAATATCTCTATAACCAATGACTGCACCTCATCTTTAGAAAGAGCACGGCATTAATACCAGAATATTGTCAATACTCAAATGGACATTTGGAATAGTTTAAATGTTAGATTGTTGTCTAAGACTCCAGATTTATCGTTAATTAAATGCATGTGTCTAGTGCCAGATGTAACAGTTATTTAATTACTGTTGTAATTTAAAACAGTATTGCTACATTACTTATATACATGTAGTACAATGCGTAAGCTTGTAAAATTTAGGGCTGAATTACAGAAATGAAATGGGGAAGACACGCGGTCGAAGTACAAATCAGAGAGGTGGAATGAAGTAGTCGGCTATTTCGTCCGTTTTGTCTCGAGGTGGTATTATTATAAATTTCTGTTTCATATTAATATTTTGCAAACTTATGTAGGTGTGTAGTAATGGTTTGAATGTAATTTAATGATAATTCTGTGGCTTCTAAAGGCAAATATAATATACAATGTGATCAGAGCCACCATCTTCCTTTATATTATCGGAGTTATTGAAAAGGGTACGACGTAAACATGTAGAATTATAGAGAGTTATATAGTCAGCGACAAAATGTTTTTAAGCCCCGAATGTAGGAATAAATGATAAATACAGAATTTAAAACCTTGCACATTCACATTAATTTTATTTAAAACATTTGGGTTCAAAATATATTGATAACGAATGAAGAGAAATTCAGTAGCCTAAGAAAATGTTTCATACAACTTCCCTTTTCGAGAAAAAGAAAACCAAATCTATAAATTATATATTTTGATTTGTTTTTGAAGGGTGATCTGTTATAAAAATATTAACTTGAAACTTATGATTATGAGTCATGGTTTTGATTTTGGTTGGCACCGTTAGCACTAATAGATGACCATTTTCCAATTGACACCCTGTGTACCGTACATGTATATTGGATAAATGTCAAAGATTTTACCCGCCCACCCTTTTGACACTTTGACAATGGTTCCTTAGTGGTAACGGAACACTATCTTGGTTACGTTTTCTGAGACGGCAGTCCGCCTTTCACAAAGTTTACATTTTAATTTAACCAACGTGTTTATTATTATATAAAAGTATGGGCCTACAACACACGAAATGTTAGCTACATGTATGTGCACGTCTGACATGAGAAGTGGAATCAGATGTTTTAGAAACAGTAACTGCATAACACGTCACTAATAGGATAGAACCTACAAATATATATTTTTTCTATGTAAATGCAATAGAAGATCACCATGTCTCCAGGGGCTTTTAATTAGAAATTTAATTAAGAATAAAATATTTTAATTAAATGCAAGACAGAAGATTATTTATGTTACTTAAAAAAATCAAGCCCTTGTCATTAGTTTTGAATGTACATTTTACATTGTTAATAAAATAATAACCTGATAACTGAACTGTTTTCTTGCGTAGGAGGAGGTTAGTAGCAAAGCCGTTTTTTTTCCTCAGTTTTTTTCTTAAGAAAACTACGGCTTGATCATATATAACCTCATAATTCAAAATAGCTTAATATATTATATTATAATGAAAAATGAGAATTTACTTGGGTCACGTTATTTGAATTTATCATACTACATGTATACTGTTTTTTAACATTGTTGCGTTATGCCTACTTCTATTTATGATATTTTATTATCCTTGCAACACGTAGGCGAATATAATTAAATGTAATCTTATAACATGATGAAATTTTATGTGCTAAATTTTTATCACACTATAAGATGCCTATTGCAGGTCTTTATTTTGGCTTTTAATGTTATATAAACTATTATTTAGATATGCATTCACGTGACAAGAGTCTATAATCAATTATCTAGATCATCGGATGTCCGAGATTTAAATGGATTGAAACACGATCGCCATTTAATAATTCAATTTAAAAATGGTGAATCTGGATTGAGTCTCCATTGTCAAGTATCATTACTACCATAATAGACAGTCTATACTACAGCTTGTCAGAACTTCAAGTACAGATAACTTCCCTCGGAATAAAGTAATTACCTTTTTTTGAAATTTTTTTAGCAAGAACGGCGAGCTATTATTTATCTGAATCTTAAATAATGCATCTTATTCTTAACGCAATTTTTCGTCATCCCCGGGCATGGCATATACTTTGAATATCACATTGGCATGGATTTTCGAAATTACATAAATGTACACTTATATATGTCGGCTTAAGGCATACATGATAACTCTAACAATGACCTTTGGATATGGTGTACATTTGATTTATATATATATATTATATTTACAGATGGACAAATTACTTACAAGTACATGTATATAGTTTAATCAAATGTGGCACTACTTATACTTATATATTTTGTACAGCTTTTAGTTAATTAATCGGATAAAAATATCTTAAACCATGTCATGATATGTTACATGTATTTACATCTTAATTAATACACGTTTTAATTATCCTGTTAGACAGTAATATTAAGACACTGAAAGTAAAGCATGTTCCAGCAGTTATCACTCAAGTCATTTGTACATAGTCTATTATTCATCCACTGAATAAAATTGTGACACTCTTCACCGTTTGTGCCATAATCCTAAATTTAAAGTCGTTAATCCTGGCAGTTTCATTATTTTCTCTAAACCAACTGTGGTTATTTGAGTACAGCCATATAGGTCAATAGATCTTAATTGTTTTAGTTTTTCACCAATTAAACTCAAACTCACGTCTGTAATTCGGCCACACTGACCTATATTAAGTGTTGTTAGTTCGTGTAAGCTGTTCACTAATCTCTGCACACCGTCGTCACTAATATTGCACGCACTCAAACTCAGGCTCCGTAAATTAAACATGCCTTGAGACAGAAACACTAAACCCTGATCCCCCACCTTGTCACAAAAACTCACATCCAGGGCCACAATCGTTGAGCCCCCTTCTGCCAAAAATCCTAACCCTGTGTCACTGATATTATCACAACTTCTTAAATTTAACTCCCGCAAGTTTGTCATTTTAGAGAGAAATTTAATACCACTATCAGTCACACTACCACAAAAACTTAAATTAATTGTTTTAAGATGACACAGTCCCAAACTGACATGTTTTAGTGCATGGTCCGTTAACTTTTGGCAGTCTTGTAAACCGAGATATTCGAGTCGCGCATTACCAGTCTTTTCTAAGTCTTCGCTGACCGATGAGGGTTGATTCAGCCCAGCTAAATGCCCTATGCCTTGATCTGAAACATGTCGACAGCTCCTTAAATTTAACTGTCTTAACTTTCTTAAACTGCAAGCAATTAAAGATAGACCGGTATTTGTAATGTGACAACACCCTCCCAATTCTAGCACCTCTAAGTTTTTCAAATACTGGGCTATTCTGACCAAACTGTTGTCAGTCACTTGTTTACACAAGCTTAGATTCAACACTGTCATTGAAGAAATATCCTGTGTGAAAGCGTATCCTAAACTAGCGTCAGTAACATTATAACATCCACTCAAATTTAAACTTTCTAAGTTAGGTATCCCGAAAACAACATCTCTCAAACTTCGTCTTAAACTTAGAATTTGAACTCGTTTTATCCCACGCCTACATAGACTGGGAAACAAAGAGGGGTTTGCTTTACGCAAATGAAGTTTAGCTTCCACGTTTCTCCACACCATACGATTATAAGAAGCGTCCTTCCAACAAACACAAACCTGGGCTACCCTTCCTTTATCCTTAATGTCCAAATATTGAAATATCATAGCCAGAATCTCGGGAAATAAGCTTGAAATGTGAGTCCCGGACTTCGTTTTCGTGTCCTCCATGTTTAGTCGAGCGCGAGCACATGTCACGTGACTCACGGCCACGGCGGGTTATTAACCTCTTCGTGATTGGTCGAGAGTATAACAGTTAAAGTTCCCGTTAGTATAGTCTTGATAAACTAGTCACAGGACATAGTTTACACGCGTGTTATAACTATAGGCTAGATTATCACATAGGAGAAATTTTATCGTTGACTGAACGACTGGTGTGTTTACATTGTTGTTCACATATGAAGAGTACAGAACTAAAAACACAACAACAGCACCGTGAGCTGTGTTATAATGCATGCATATTCAAAGAAAAGCATTTTCCTTCCAACGGAGGTTAATTTACTACTTAAGTTGCAAACCACATTTACACATAAATTTAAAACAATAAAAAAACAAACAGAGGGGTTATTACACAATTGTGATGTCAATGCAATAATGCGCCATTATTTATGTCAGTTTAAAAAATAAATAAATGATTAGATAACTTTAATTCACTTTTAGTTGGCTTACCTTTAAAGCGGGGGGGGGGGGGCAATGGCCGAATGGTTAGCGCGTGTGCGATGTACCATAAGGTCTGTCATTGAGTCGACTGACGTGGTTAATTCGTTCGATCCCCTGTGTAACCTCGTGGGTTTTATCCGGGTCCTCCGGTTTCCTCCCACTGCTAAAAACCCCTACGCGCAAGCGAATTATTAAAATAAAATTGAACCTTATGTTAGTCCCGAAATGACATAGTTTGTGTCGAGTGGACGTTTAACCCCATTTCTCTCTCTCGCCTTTAAAGCTTATAAATTACAAAAAGTTCAGAATACTGCTCTCCCTCTCTTTTTCTTCTCTCTCCCTCTGTCCCTTTCTCTTATTCAAACATGAAGGAGAGAATGTTACTTGGAGGGTTTTTTTTACGCTTTAGGTTGCGAATAATATTTACACGAAAACTAAATACAAAAATCATAACCCAACAGCGAGGTTATTGCATAATTGTGATAGGTCAACGAAATAACAACATATTCGATAACAAAATGTAAGCTTATACTTTATTTATGTTAATTTAACAAATGAATAAATGATTAATAAATGTTATTTCCCTAACCAAAATACTGACCAGCCATAGTAGAATAGATTTTACCTTCCTAATTGAAAACAAAGAGATTTTCTTTTTTAAATTGGGTAATACAAAATAATAAAGACTCGAGTTGGGCTTAAATTAAAGGACTCCGTTAATACTGAAAATATTAGCGTTTCCGAATCAATTCATACACTTAAATCGAACCAATGTATTTTCATGATTCCAGTTTAAAAGACAATTTTTGATGTAATATATATATACAAATATGTTGTGAATATAAAATGGAGTTTAATGTCTTACTGTTCTATACCAACCAATCCAATGACGGCGGGCATACGCCCACACTGATCAGCAGTGAATATTCGCGAGGCCTCTCTACAATCACTGATAAGGATAACATCGATGCGACATAATGAGCCACAAATATTAACTTTTTTCCTCCGACAAATTAAATTCTAAAACATTTTTTTTTATGTATTAGAAAAATAAATAAAGACGTTTGACGTATAGATAAACATTTGTGGGTATTAAAAATGAGTAAAAAAAACACCATTCTTCCCGAACCAGTAACGTCTTATGTAAACAATGCACGCGCCATTTAGCCAATGATTGACGCCGCGTGATGAGACGTCACGTATTGAAGGTAGTCATCATTTACAGAGATATTAGAAGACTTACGTAATCCTCTGTGAAACTGATTGGCATACGCTATGCAATGTGCTATGGTGAGGGGGTGGGGTTAAAGAGATAGACTGGAGGTCGGAGGCCCTTGAGCCTTTGGCCCACTCTAGGGGTGTTCGGAGGTGGGAGTGGGAGTCTCCCTCTGGCGCAGGTTTGTTGAAAGGCTGACTGTAAAGTGTGCTTTCTAGAGTATATCCTGAGTACCACACTTCCAGAGACAGCAAATCATTAAACAGATAATATCAAGAAATTGTCAAATTTGGATACTTTCTCCTTTACATTATTTTCTACAATTCAACAAATCCGACGTTAATTCAAGACTAAAAACAGACTCCAAACTACGCAACTGTAAATAAACTGGCTTCAACTAAAAATGGGTCGTCCTGAGCGCCTCTTCCGATCCAAAGTGACTATTCCAGCCAGTTGAAGCCAGTTGCCCATGTTTAATTTCCGCAACTCGTTTCAACCAGCGTCAACCAGTTGCTGTCAACATGAGCGATCTTACAACTGACTTCAACTCGTTTCCATGGAACCAATATCACGCGATAAGAGAAATATGTCATGCGACTGTGTAAATAGGCAAAACGGTAGCTAACGAAGGCATCAACTTTTAAAGTGTCGATGATATCCTTAAACTTATATTCACCTAACGTAAGATATTTACCTCAAATCGGTATTTAACTCTTAAAATGAAATGAAATGGGATTTAACTTCCTACCTTTCTGCACCGAATGAGCTAATGAAGACGGGCATACGGCAAACAGTGTGCTATGAGGGAAATTATACTCGGGCAGTAGCACTACAGTCTACTTTTATTTAGAATTCGAACTCTCACGGATTGTTTTACGCGTAGGCCAATGTGTACATGGTACGTTGGGTTTCTGTATCACCCGAACCACTAAACACCGGAAGCGAACGGCTAAAACCGATAGCGAGCACGAGACGCCCAGGCTAGGGAGCCAAATTCAGCGAATGTCTAACTCACTGACTCTCCTCAACTTTCAAAAGCTAACGAACCTTAACTGAAGTGTATATAATATATTCAAAGATAGCCTTAAACATATGGAATCTATACACAGACGTGTCCTGTTAAAGAATAATCCTATTAATCCTATAATTCACCATCGTCAGTTAAGAAATTGGCAAATATAGCATTTTCAAGCTGAAACTACAATGTGGAGGTTTTTAAAGTTTCTTTGGGGAAAAGAACCGGGCATCATTATACGTATCTGTTTATCCACAGACCTTGACAATCGTGACAACTCCCCACTTCCATTATGTAGACTTAGTTTTTCAGGACGGACGGCCTAACAAGGGACAATGTATAGTCGTTCGGATGGAACGGAAAACCGGGTTCCCATGTACACATTGGAGTGCACGTGAAAGAACTCATGATTTAAACAATATTTATTCAAATAAGATTGATATTTAAATATGCATACAATGTCAAAGGTAAGGATTCAAAAACATGCCAAAGGCTTATATCAATTAATGCGTCTCTTAAAAGAACCCTTGACATATAAGATAAGAGTAGACTGTAGCTTTGTTGTCCTGGCAAAATTTTTATATCATAGCACACTGCATGCCATTTGCCCGTTTTCATTATCCCATTTGAAACAGAAAATTAGGTCGTTAAACCTCTATTCAGTTCATTTCATTTCACTTTTGATTCCACTTTTTGTCTTCAATGAATAAACGGTTGTGTTTTTAAAAGTGGACTTTACATACACTGAAATAACTCCCCAACAGGGTATTTTGCGGGGCTATATCGATTACTTGCTCTTGGTTGGAAATTAGTTGGTAAACAATCCACTGACCATTCGCCAATAAAAGTTGTAAAGTACCCACAATAGCTATCTGTAAATTTGTGGTCTGCATATAAATAAATCTTAGGATTTTTCAAATTATCCACTGTTAACTTTCCTAACTTTAGTTTGTTACAGATGTAACAACTTAGAGAAACAAGCGGCTGAAATGCAAGATATGCCCACATATTGCAAAAGATGGACAGGGAACAAGCTAAAAAGCAATTTTTCGTACAATCAGGGTCCATAATCCAGGAAGTTACGTACCAACATGCGCCAATATCGAAAGGAACCGCGATCGTTGGATAATAAACACACATTTTAAGTTTCGTCAAAATGGGATAAAAATTGTGACCTCTAGAGAATCGACAAGCTAAAAAAAGATTTTCGTACAATCAGGGACCATAATCCATGACGTTATGGTCCGATACATATCAATGTCGAAAGGAACCGAGATCTTTGGACCTGTATTTCAAGTTTTATAAAAAAAAAAACGGATAAAAATCGTAACCTGTAGAGGGTCCACAAACAAAATGTGAACGGAAACAGTGACGGACGGGCAGCGGGAACGACATATTATGTCCACGTGAAAATGTGGGCGTATAAAAACAAACAAAAACTTTCAACTTAATTAACATTTGCCATCTTAATGACGAGGGACGATTTGTAAAGAGCAATATATTTTGGGGATTAACTGTTTGGATTAACACATTAAGTAAATATTGAACAGGTAATCGAGAGGGTCAAGAACTGGGCTTTCGAATAGAATATCCTAGGTTCGAATCCCAACGTGGGCCGAGAAAGCCTGTTATTGACCCCGGTTCAAAGGATAGTGTTCAGTTTTGGTGATGCAAACGCAAGCTTCACTTGTGTACAAACAAAAGAAGAATAGCCTAGACAAGTAAGTGGGCGGAAGCGCCCTAATTCTGACAAAATTCTCCCCGTTTCATTGCAAACAGAAGAGAAGGAGAAGATATAAACGTAAATTGCTCTGAAAATGAGCGTTGACTAGACGCTCAACTCCTTTGCTGTATATTTGTGTATATAATGAATGTAATGTTTGTTTACAAATCACCAGTGATCAATGAGTAGCTAGTTACCTCCCTTTAATCAATAGCAAGATCATTGATCGATACAAACTCACTTTTACTCGCTCTTGTTTGTTAATAGCAGTGAATCATACACCAATAACATTCATGATCTATTCGCAAAATGAAACAATTTAATGGCAAAAGAGAATAATTCTAATTATATAAGCTGAACAGTGGTATTAACTAAGTAGTTTTGGTTTGTTGGTATTTTCAGTCTTGTACCAATTTGATGAACTCTTGTCAGTAAGTAGAACGTTGGCTCGCTAACCCGGGGGTCCCGTGTTCGATCCCTGCATTGGCCGAAAAAAGTTCATCGGTTCCTGTGGTCGTATATTGTCTTCGCCCGCGTCCGTCCGTCGGTCCGGCGTCCACAATATCTTGTG